GCCGATTTGGGTTGCCGGAGCTATACCGGAGCACAAATTTGGCGAGTTTCGGGAATCAGTACTAGTATGGCAGCACAACGGTATCACATTGCTAAAACAGTAGTACATTGTCAGAACATCGGCGAAAAATTTAACAGCAGCAGGTGACGGTAGAAATTTTTGAACATCATAAAAAATGTCCGCTGTAGCGATGCTGGAGGGAGCAATGGGACTACAACGGCAGTACTCCAGTATGGCTTCGTTAATGTGTCGGTAGAGCACCACTAGTGTCCCGTAATGGATCGGCAGCTCTCCGGTTGCCTCAATGTGTACCGTACTGGTACCGATGTTACACCGTAGTACTACCAAATACCACCAAATTAGGACTGATGCACCGACGATGTACTAACGATGTACTAACGTAACATCGGCAGCGTGACCATGTATCACTCCGCTATAGTTCCGGTCAACGATGGCACACCAGTAGAACAACGGCGGCGCCTTGGTAACACTGAGGTGTGAGAAAATTGGTATTCGGTAGCACAAGTGCTTTCTTGCTGGAGCTCTGCTGATTTTCTTGCTGTTATTAATTTTTTGCTCCGGTTTAGTCCCGGCGTGGTACATTGGTAGTGTGTGACAGGCCCTTTAGAGTCTAGTCTTACAGTAAAAAAACAGGAGGAATGTCCTAACTCGACATTGGAATGTACTGTATGGAACCTTATAAAAGTCCTAATTCTGAAGTTTGAAGTTAATATATCCGAGTGTTGATAATTGAAACAATGAGTGTTTTGTAACAGTGTTATGATCCTGATTTGTTTGTAGAGAGTGAAGACCTGCCCCCATCTCAATGTGTCCTTCAAGGCCCACGACTCGGCGGTGGTCAGTGTGGAGTACATCCAGCATGAGGCTGGTCAGTTTATCCTCAGTGCGTCCACAGACAAAACGGCACGTCTCTGGTCCATGGAGGGTCACTACATAGGCACCTTTGGTCAGGTAGGCAAACAATTGTAATAACTGTGATAATGAGATTTTTAAGAAAAAGTTCAAAAAAGACTATGCTGTAAACAACTGTGCTATTTGGTCGGACATTCAATTGTGAGTGTGAATAGCTAGTTATTTCCGCTAAACTTTCAAGAACGAGACTTAACTTTATCTATAGAAATGACATTGTAATAAATTGTTTCATACTTTGACATTCTTTCATCAGAAAAAATCCTGGAACCTTAAGAACAAGAAGTCTTGGTGTCACCCTAAAACGCCCTGGGATGTGACGGGGACCAGTAAATTAGATGGTAAGGAATGAAAAGCTTGGATGTAGGTTGTCACATGTTTGGTCTAATATCAATTGTGCAGTTGAACTAAATATATATATATAAAAAAAATATCCGGAAGATTTAAGACTTAATTTTATATGTTTAGAAACATCAACAAGCCATACCAAAACATTATTTCATCCATCACCTAGAGCAGAAAGTCTATCATCAATTCTTTCACCGAATTATCACCTCATGCAGAAAAACTATCGTCTCTACAATTGTCCACCCAGATGACCATTCTCATTTCTGATTCAGATGTGCCGAGACTTTTTGGATTAATTTTTAAGTTCATCCAGGTCAGTTTCAACCAAAGGCGGCACACAAATCCTGCCCAGTCCTGACCAAGTGGTTGTATTTTAATTGTTTGGGTCAATAAAAAATTCAAGTTTGCCACCATGATCTCATACTGGTATCTCAGCTTTATTTCAAAACAGGCCTAATAGACCTCTTGTTAAATTATTGCCATATGATTTGCTATGACAGGTGATAAAACAAGTAACAATAGCCAAGCAGATATCACCATAGAAACAGAGAACGTACAGGTCGGAGGTCAGGAGGAGATTCCAAATAAGGATAACGGGGAGGTAGAGGAGAAGGAAGAGGAGGAGGAGGAGGAGGAGGAGGAATTGGAGGAGGAGTCTGTGGAGGTGAGTAGAGAGGATATTTTTACCTTGTAGTGGTGTTGTGATATGTGGTATTGTGGCTAACTGTTTTATTTTTATCTTTTCGTGTTTTCACAGAGTTCTCTACCTTTGCTTTGTAATAATAAGGGTTTTAAGTAGGCACACATAGATATTGATAGGCATTCACTGTGACAGCTGCTGGCCAGTATGACCAGAGCAGTGTGTGTAAACAAAGTCACAGAAAAACACCAGTAGCTGAGGTGATATTTATTTAATAATCATTATCAATTGTGAAGCTTAAAACAGCCAGGTTTTTTTTACAACTAAATGACAAAATTGCAACTCAGCACTATAAGAAAAGTAAGAATTATGAAATTGTATTGAACACTAGTGAGAACAGTGGAATAGGTGTGATGTGTTTGATACTTCTGTTGATATTGTGAAGTTTTTATCATTCTCTAACTGTAACATCAGGGTTTCCTTCAAATCATTCACAAACACCTGTTAGATTTAATACAACAAATATAAAACCAACATCCATTTATAGTCTTCAGAACCATATGAAATAATAAAAATTGAAAGAACAGGTGAACATTTGTACATTCTAATCTAGATACCTGTAAATATATTGTGAAACTTTTAATAATTCATCACACTAATAAAACGCCTGTTTCTGTGTTTGTGGTGGTTTGATGGCCCGTGGTGGTTTGATGGCTTGACCAGATGATTGACCGACAGACCAATGCCAGTGGGGAAATTGTAATTTCTAACAGACATGAATATTCAACACGGGGTTTATATTAACTCTTTGGGGTACCAATACCAGCAGCAGATTAGGTGGGGAAGCTCTGGAAAGGTTGGGGAGTAGCTACCATCCAGACATGTTATTGCATATGGAAAGGTATGGGATGTCCAACCATTCAAAAGTGTTACCATTGTATGTAGAATATGGTGAATGGGAGCGCTACATGTTACATATAACTGATAGACGGGTGGTATCTATGGTAACTATATAATTGATAGTCAGGTGGTAACTATGGTAACCCTGTTAAAAGTCAGGTGGTATTTATGGTTATAATATCTTTATGAAGTAGTTGGTTTCTATGGTTACCTTGGTGTTGGTAGTTGTAGGTTTCTATGGTTACCTCGGTGTTGGTAGTTGTAGGTTTCTATGGTTACCTCAGTGTTGGTAGTTGTAGGTTTCTATGGTTACCTTGGTGTTGGTAGTTGTAGGTTTCCTGGGTTACCCTGGCATTGGCAGTCAGACAGTATTGAATGGTTACCTACATCTGTATGTCAGCACCCTGTACAATTTAGCTGTATGCACTTTCTGGGTGGTTGTTTATAGACGCCCTTACCCACACAGGCTCCCACAGTGGAGAGACACAGTGACAGTGGGCACAGCCTAAACATCAAGGTCAGGGCACAGACAATTGACCTTGGGTCACTTCGACCTGAGCGCTCCAAGGTAGGTGTTCACAATGTTAACATTGCATGTTTTTTTCATCGTGTTTTCTTAGTATTGTCTTACTGATGGTGTTCAGTGTTTTTTT